TCTGCTAGAAGATCTTCTAGAAACCTGTTTTCCGGTTTGTTGGGTTGGTGAGAACATATTGGGTTGGTGCGAACATATGAGACAATTGAGTTGGGCGAGAGTGAGCCAAGTAAGCTGATGTTCAAGAATTTGTATAAGGCTCAGAGATTCTACTAGCAGAAGAAACGATTTTTCTCCATTTTGAGGATTTTGCTGCCCCTATCTAAGACACTAACTACTTCTCCCCCATGGTCAACACCCCGCCCCCCCGGAAAACTCAATACTCCCGCATTGTATTATACTGTATCATTCGGTTGGAAAAGGTCTTGGGCAGTGTGGAGTGTCAGAAAAGTGTGGCTAAGGTTAGGGACTTAAGAATTTCCAGAAATTAACACCGTTCCCACACGTTGATATCCCTAAGACATGGCAATTATTGCCCTTTGGGGTTCGCAAAACAATTTTTCCAACACCACCCTTTCAGTTGCCCGAAGCTTACCCTCTGAAAACATGGTTTCCTTCCTAAGGCTCCTGCCTGTTTTGAGTTATGTTTGCACCCCCCCCTCTGATCTCAAGGGTCTAGGATGTAGAGCTCAAGGTGACGGTTTAGGGTTTGGGGTTTAAGGGTCTGGGGGTGTTTCCAAACGGGGCCCTGAGGGGGCGCCAGGGGTATACGGGGAAACCCAGAAGACTCTTGAGGTCCAGATTGAGGTTTTTTTGGTGGGTTTCATGGGTACGGGAAAATTAATACAAACCTCAAAATACCATAATCCTGGCTAGGGTACACCCCAAATCTCCCCCAACAGGGACCCTAATTTGCAGAAACTTTCGTGTAGACAAATTCTAAAAGAAACTACCAGCTTGGTAGCTGTCACAGTCAGGTGTAATGTTGTTCTGCACACTGAATTTACCTCGGGTTAGCTAGGAATGAAGGAATGGATTCCTATGGTAGTCCTTATTTTGCTCATTATGTAGTTTCCATGTTTAGTTTTCACTCATTCATTCCCAGCTAACCAAAGGTAAGTGAAAGGAGGCTCTGGGTCTCACAACCACGCTTATGCAAAGTGTGCGCGGTTTCTGGCTCAGTTCTGCAAATGGAACTCTCGCGCACTTCTTAGCCTAGATGTGCATAATGGAATATACATTAGCTGGACCCCCAAAGGCATAGTAACTATCAGGGATAATCGTGATTTTGGTAAGGGTACTCTTGTATACTCTTATGCTCCTATTATACCAGGGGTCCTCCGAAAATATACAACGGTTTATGCGGCTCCACCTGCAACGTACATCTTTTTCTTTTCTTGAAGGTGGCAGCTGGGCCGTCCGCTCACAGGCGGGAAAGTGCGGGGGTCTTCTCAAAACAGGGTGATCCTCTAAACCTCTGGTTGAGGGTCCTTTTGCAAATTTTCCGATATCAGGGGCCCCAATACAAAGCCCACTATATTATAATCCTTCTCATAAGGATTCCCTACAAAGGACTGAAAGCTCGCATACAATCGTGGCTTTTGAGAAGCACCAAGTACTCTACGCGCAACATGGAGACAGCAAGTGGTGCTGGGGCCACATGACAAACAATCTGAGACTACGTGTAGGGGTTACATTTATGGTTAGAAAGGGAGTTTCAGGCTACATAAGGGCTATATAGCGTTGTACAGTTCTGCAGGGTTATAGATCCTAATTGGAGTTGCGCGTTGCTCTAGGGCACTGTCACGAAAAGTTGAAAAGCTGCTGGAGCTTCGCCCCAATTTCACTCACACCCGTGAAAGAATTCTGTTGTTTCTCATCATTGTCCTTGCTTGTCAGGGCTGCCGTTGAAGAAATTACATAAGACTGAAGTTACCCTCATAAAGAAGCTTGATATTCATACCGTGCCTGTGTCCTGGTAATTTGATTGAACTCCTGAACAGCAACTCAACTGTCTCTTTAGAGTTAACAACTCGAGGCGTCGAAAAAACAGAAAAGACACAGAACATAAACCCTGAACCCTTCAACGATGCGGGCACTTCAGACTAGCGCAGCTGACATATAGAGGTTTCCCAAAATTAGGGGTACCTTTAAAGGGGCTATAGGATTACGATTATATAGGGATTCTATGGGGCTTTAAGGTTTCCGAGAATTAGGTGTACCTTTTGGGAGCCCCCAAATCAGGGAAATTGCCATATGAGCTATAGTCTAAACTCCTAGTATCCCCCTTAATAAGCCCTATACTAGTCCCCTATATAATCCCCAATATAACCCCCTTTAAGGAGTTTAGAGTCTTACCTAATGTTGCACGACAGAGGTAGGTCAAGGGTTGAGGGTTTTAGGGATTTAGGGGTTCAGGGGTTTAGGGTTTAAGGTTTAGGGTTGTGAAGAGCCCTTCTTTAATATGTTTTCGTTACCGCTTATTCAGGACATGGCCAGTGTTTGGAAGCCCCTTTCTAATTGGTTTTGCCTAGAAATACGGGACTGAATCCAGGCCATCCCTTTCAAAGTAATCCCCACGGTCTCCCCGGGCCCTCAGTACCGTGGGAGCCTTATTGAGGACGTCTAACTACTATGTTTCGGGGTGCCCTATTGTGAGGAGGGGGGGGCGGCGGGCCCCAGAGTTCAAAGAGAGTGCAACATTATTGTACATATTGTTGCTATACCATTTGGAAGCAAAACTTCCCTCCTTTCAGAAGCAAGACTCTCTTCAAGAGCGGCCTGAATCCGAATCTTCTGCTGTAAGCCAGAAATTCCCTAAAGCCCGGAGCCCGAGCCCGAAAGAAGAAGAAGAAAAAAAGACGAGTCCAGGCGAGTCCTCCTCCTCCTCAACCGTGGCTATTTGCGGAGCTCGAGCCTGTACAGTTCATCATTCTTATATTGGGACAATGGAACAGAAATTGGAAAACTACTGCAATGGGGTTATATAGGGTTTAGGGTGTAGTTTTAATGGGGTTATTCTATTGGGATAATGGAAAGGAAAATGGAAAACTACTATAATGGAGAATCAAATGGAAAAGAAAATGGAAAATGAAATGGAAACCGGTGTTATGTATGGATTATATTTGGGTTATACTGGGATAATGGAAAAGAAAATGGAAACTACTATAATATATTGGGGGTATATATATATAATTGAATCTGACTTTCTTGGATGGATGAATGTCTTAAAGGGCAGGTTTAGTATCGGGGGTAAATGGGGTTTGCTTCATCTCGGGGAGAAAGGGTTAGCTTGTTGCTGCAGGAGGTTAGCTTCCAGTGGGCTGTATGCCTTGGAGCATTATAGGACGTCTCTCGCAAATGGAAGGCTCCCTGAGAAACCCTAGGCACAATGTGTATGTGGGCATTGCAAAAGTTTTGTGGGGGGATCGGAAGAAGCATCCTGAACGGAAATTTTGATTCACCCCCATTCGTGGCTGGATAGATATTTCAGAGTACCCTCCATCGTCTTACTGAAATATCGATACTCCACCAGACCCCGGACAAACTTGAAACAATTCGAGCAATTCTGGGAACTGGGATCTCATTCTCGGAGCTGGGATCGCCCAGATGCCTAACAAATAACGAGGTGCGTATAATGGTACCCCTCCACAGGGGAACCTTGTTCTGAGGTAGATTGAGGCCTCACTTCAAAACTTTTCAGTTATTCAGAGCAGCACCCATTCAGGAAGAGAGCATGACTTGATCAAAATGAGCCTTACACTAGCAAGATGCGAAGAACAGTGTTCATCCTGATCCGTCATTTCCTTCCAACGACGACTGCCGTCTTGCTGTCTTTCTGTATTCTGATTCCAAAAGTTCATGTGAACTGTAGTCTAAACTCCACAAAAGGGGGTTATAAAGGGGAATATATAGGGGACCATTATAGGGGTTATTCAGGGGGATACTAGGAGTTTAGACAGCAGCTCATGTGAACAGTCACCATGAGTACTCATCTGCAGATTTCTCAACAATAGTTGTCCCTTGCTGCAGGTCCCTATGCCTTAGAAGGGTTTTCTGAGTACATACTGTACGGGCCCTCGGTCTTTGAAGGCAATGGTTCCCTTATGTAACTTATGTAAGAGTCAGGTGCGAATTTCCAAAAGCATCAGGCTAGTTTTCTTCAACATATTAGGAATGCCAAGTCATCAACCAGCCCTAACCAGGCAAACATATGACATCATGTTGGAGCATCAAACCACCAAGCAAATTCCCTAACCCTGCACCAATATTTGCTAGCAAGCAATGGGCATTCGGAGAAAAAACACGGTTTTGAGAACTCCCCCATCCCGCGACTTGTGCTTAAGGGCCTTGAGCACTGAGCACGTGGCTGTAGCTGGATTGTCATACCTTGAAATCTATCAGGTTAGGTTACTTGCAAGCTTGGATGTATTTCAAGCCGAGTCAGAACCGAAAGCTACGTGCCGTCAGCCTTACAGACCCTGAGGGTCTTTACCTAAAATCCCCAACTGATACCTTTCACCTTTAACTCCCCTGCAAGAACCCCACTATAGTAGTGTCCATTCTATTATCCCTATAGTATCCCCATACTAACTACCCCTAGGTATTTGCGAAGACTTGGCAGGCAGCGATGACGCGCCTGACTGGCCATACTGCGCGGCCGTAGCATGCACTGTAGCCGGTCAGATAGCTCCCTGCGCCTCTCTTAATACCGGGGCTTCGGAGGCAATACTTAATGGGAATATGTTCACAATCTAATCCTTGTAGTATATATTGCCATATTCCCTCCTAACCCCCACTAAATCTTCTTCATGGAGACTTCTCACAGCACAGTGTGGAGTTTGCGCATTGAAGTTTTCAAAAGAAAGGGTGGCCCTTGTAAACAAGGAAGCCCCGCCACCTCGAACTCCAAGGGTCTAGGCGCTTACTTGGGAACGCGGTAGTATAACCTGCAGTAAAGATGTGGGGTCTCCGAAAATTAGGGGGTACCTTTTTGGGGGTCCCCATAGTAAGGATTATACTATATTGGCGTGTATATTGGGGTCCCTCTATTTTAGGAAACTACCATGTAAGGGAAGTACATGACCATGGGGCACTTGGACCCTTAGGGAAAACGCTTCTCATAGCGGGCTAAGCTGCAACGCTGTTACCGATGTCAGCGACGACGTGGCATGCGTGCTGCTTTCCTGACACTCGGAGGGCAGGTTTGCACAAACAAAGGGTGAGCATTTTCAGTATCTGGGTGGGTACACGTTTTGCTGGGAAACACCCATCTGGGTACGGGAGCCGGCCCTACCCAAGGGGCAAACTTTGGACCCTAAAGCCTGAAACCAAAAGTTTCGGGTTCAGAGGGAACGCCATCCGTGGAACAGGGCCTAAGCAAAGGGATTTTGAGTTTGGCATCACACTGGCTTCCCAGCCTAGGCCCCTCGTACTTGCACCCGGTTCGAACCCTGGATATAGGGTTCATAAAGCTTTAGTTAGAGGAAATGCAGGCCCTAACACAGCTACAAACAGGGCAGTGGGCATGCCAACAGGATCCAAGAAATAACGTACCAAAATTGAAATCAAGGCTTCACTAGCTTCTTGGCCCCAGCGTGAACGGCGGTTAAGGGGAATGAGCTGGGAGACTGAACTTTACATGGGCCATGGATGTCCTACCTGTTGAGGTGTTTAGGTTTACAGGTTTAGGTCAATTTTTCATGACAAGTAGATGATGTCGAAACCCTAAAACAGAAGGACATCCAGCGCTCAGGTAATGTTCCGACTCGCGCGCACTGAAACCCTAAGCCTCAAACCCTAAATCCTAAACCCTAAACCCTATGCAGATACACAGTTTAGGGTGTAGGGGATGGATAACAGAAATAACTACACAGGCTTCTAGTTCGGTCCCAGCCCTTGTGGATCATTTGTGGGGGGCCTCTCGGTAGCTTAGCTAGGTGGCATGCCTTGATTTTCGGGTCTCCTAAAATTAGGGGTGTAGGGTGTACGGTTCCTGAAATGAGGCTTATGGTATCTCACAGTCTATGTTGGGGCTCCCTGGTTCTAAGAACTAGCATTTAGGAGTGCTCCCGCCCCGCAAAAAAACTTTTAACGCACATAGCTCCTTGCTGGAAGAAGGGTGGTCTTTGTGGGCCCACTTCTTGGGGTTCCATGTCAATGTGGGGGAAAGTAATTCTTCGGGTTTTGCGATGTAAGGACTAGGCCTTGGGGATTAAGCGCATTGCAGGGCTTAGGAATTTGCACAAACAAATCTTCGCGTTTGCACAGTCTGCAGCATGGTGCATGAAAACGTGCAAAAGTACCTTGAACAATGTAGTCCACAGTTATACACTCAACTAACTTTCCCAAGCACATAACGGACCCTACCCTGACCGATGCCTTATCCCGTCCCCACATTTAAATACTTTTTTCAAACACCAGACAAGGTGAAAATTTGGATTAACGGGAGGGGGAATGTTTAGGATTGGATTGAAGACACGAGCAGTTGCAAAAATGAACCGCATGTAATGTTTGAAGAGGCTATCTTATCCTTACAGTACATATCCCATGAGTCCCGGACCAGGGTACCCCATCATTGGAAAACCCCATACCATAAACCCAAGATACGCAACTCTATACTCTAAACCCTAAATCCTAAAATCGAAGCCCTAAATCCGTAAAATTCTGAGCAGACGTGTCGCTCTATCTTGCCGTGAGGACACCTGTGAAGAGCTGTCATCTCCTTGGTTGCCCATGCAGGGTTTTAAGGTCTAGGGGTTACCCCATAGACCTACAGCTTGATAGGAACTACCCCCTCATTAGTACAACTTATGATACAGACCAGAAAGCTGTAGGTCATTGGGGTTACAGATAGGGGCTTTTAGACACCAACCCTTTGGTCGTTTTTGTTATTGGGTTTCATACTACCTTACTTCAACAATTCAAAAACAGGAGAGTCGCTCAGCAAGCCCACGTAGTTGGTAACCGACCTCCGGACAAGGGCGCGGTGTATGGGCAAGTTTAGGGTCAAGGGCTCATAGAGTGTAGGGCTCCAGGTGTAACGTTTATCAGTGTGTTGTTTTTGTTTCATGTTCTGGGGGCTTGGGAGGTCTGCAGGTCAAAGCGGGATATGAGTGTGAGCCAACTCTCTTCATACAAACTCTTCAGATTTCGCATCAGGCATGCTGAGGTTCAAGGTGCAGGGATAAATGCTGATTCAATTGAAGACGGTCAAGGATGCGTCTGAAAGAGAGCAAAATGAAAATCACTCTATTTAGTCACACTGGCAACAGCGGCAAGAGAAAACACCAGTGAACATGATTTTTTTTTGGGGGGGGGTTGGGGTGTCAAAAACGTACCCTAAACCCTAAACCCTAAAAACGGGTCCCTTGTCAGGTTCCCCTACTCCGTATGGCCGTGCTGCGGGCTGCGGTCGATGGAGCCGCCCATGCAGATGGCTTACTGGGGCTTAGTGGGGAATGCGGATATAGTATACAGGGGATTTATAGGGATCATATTCCGTTATTCCCAACGAAGAACCAGCAAGATGGACTGTGATGGCTGCCAGCGGCTTGTTCATCACGTCTCTTCAGTCCATCGATGCTGAAAGTCGAAATTTTGTGATTTCAATGTTCCTGACACCTCCTCCCTGCCTTGCGCCCTTTCTCTCAGCAAATGAGGATGTGAAGCAACCTGGGGCTAAAATCTAGCAGCTCTGCAAGCCAGATAGCATGGATTCATGCGTACAGGTGCACCCCTAAGCATGATCCCTAGGGATCCAAATAACCCAATGTAGGTAATATTTTCAGACTTTGGGGCCCAATGTAGGGATTATTTACATACATGGATCCCCAGGGGATGTTGGGCAGAAATCCCTCCTTGGCTTTTCACTCATTTTCAAAATCCTGTCCCACCCTTTCGACTCCTTTGCACCTACATGTCTCTGTGGGACATCCCCGGGCCTAAACCTAAACCCGCAACCTGGAACCCCGCACCCATAATTAAACCTCATAAACGCTGGAGCAAACATGCCTAAATCCGAAAACTGAAGCCCGAAACCCTAAGCCCTCAAATCTTATCCAAGATGGGCTATTGGACCTCATAAACCCCTTTTGTTGGACGACATTCGATATCCCCGCCTTGAACAGTCAAGGAAATCCATGATGTGCGCGAGCACGTCTGGGCTCAGCCACTGCTTGCGAAACAGATGTACCGCCCAAAGGAACCTGACAGCTTCAGGGTTTGATAAACATTTACGTAAATTTTCAGATACCCATAATGTTTGACATATCCTGTATTCGAAATTTTCGTAGGTTGTGCCTCACGGAATAATGAGAATGCAAACGCGCTCTCATGTTGCAATACCGCAAGTACTTGGACTAAACACCTGAAAAGGCGCGCTTTATTCAGTATCCGAAATTTAAGAACCCTACATATCGAATTCCAGACACCGGCCCGGTATCCTGTTCGGTTTTTCTGCCTTCCCTTGAAACGAGTTGGGTATTCCAGAACCTCTTCCAACTGACATAAGGTTCGCAATCTGCTAATCTCGTCACGACGATCTCAAAGGGCTATACTCTCTGTGCTTGGTCAATGCGTAATGAGCAGGTATCCCGCAACAAGACTTTCAACATCCAAACAGCCACACACACTACGTTCTACACAAATTGAAATTCGAAGGCTCCCACCTGCTAAAAGTCAAGCCGGAAGCCAGTCCGTAAACAACGAACCGAACTGCAACGTGTAAACCGGGAATCCCTGCGGCCAAAGATGTAAGATGCAAAGTAACTGGCCGATCATTGTCGACTTGTCCTGTTGCCGCCGCCTGACCAAAGGCTACAATGGGGACTTCTCAAAACAATGGTTTCTCGGAATTGTCATGATGGTAGCCTTGTAGCATGTGTCGCTTGCGATTTTATGCTATAGGGAGCGGATGGGGATTGCAAGCGTTCACAGCGCAGTTTCCCTTTAAAAGTGGCAACGAACCTTCCAAGAAAAAGGGTGGGCACGATGTAGGATCCCCATGCACCCGCTAAATCATGGTTTTGCGGCAGACATCATCAACAATTTCTATTCGGAACACCTCACTTGCACCTTGAACACAACAGCTTTAATCTGTAGTATTGCGTTGGGGTCACTCAACACATCGGCTAGCATGAAATTCCCGAATTAAAGGTCTCAGACTGCAGCAAACAAATACTGCGGGAAGGGAGCTCAGAAATTCCGTTAGGACTCCAGGTGGGGAGCACGGCATTGTAACCTGAAGTAATAGAGGTCCAAGCATAAAGAAACCTGATTCAGGAGGGTCACGTTGCTCAAGTGATGCAGGCCAATTTTACATCAAGACTGCAAGCAACTCTTATCCGGCTTCACACCGCCAAAGCTGCAGGGCTTCTAGCAAGTCCTCTTCGCGACTTTCAAAGGCGTCAGCCAGTCCTGGTCGGTTTGCAGCAAAGTCCAACACTAGATCGACCAGACGCGGTGATATCCTCTTTCCGCAAGCCCAGGAGCGCATGACCTGGTACAACCCAGTTGCCATCTGTTTCGCGGCCTTTTGCCGCAAGGCCCAAACGGCGGCTTGAAGCGCTGCCCCTGCTGCAGCCCAGCGCGAAGTCTTGCCTTTGATGGAGAGCAAAAGCGGAGTACAAACACCGAACCTCAAAGCTTGCAGTTGCGAAGCACCGCAAGAAGGACACACCTCACGAGCTTGCAGGCCCACCACAAGCTCCAGACTTTCAAGGCCAATGCCCAGAGATCCACAATGCTCTGCGAAAGCGACGTCCCCGTGAATGATCGCCATGTCAAGTAGCGTAAAAAAACGCCGTCGAGGCTTGGACAAATCACTTTGGCCGAACGGACTGCAAGCGCACAGAAACTTCAACCTCCCAGGTGCAGAGAATGCCCCCAAATTGACGCCTGCAATCTTCGCTGCTAGCAGGCGCTGTAAGCAAAGCGTGACGTCTATAACGTCTACGTTGTCAGGGTCATCACTGCCGTTGAACTCCCGCAGGTGCTGCAAAAGCAGTTGGGCCAGGGAATTTCTGGAATCGGGTATCCATGTCTTTGTTGGGGAAGAATGTGTCTTGCTGGTTTCCTTCCACACTTGCAAATCACCGCAGAGCGCCACAACGTCTTGAAAGCAAAGCCAACAAACACGCGAGGTGTCTTCGCTGGTGGCATCATCGTGCCTGCGCCATTGAAATTGAACATGATTGTCATAATGGGCAAGAATTGAGAACAATGCATGCGCAAGGCGCATTTTTGAATGCCCACTCCTGCTGCCATAGCTGCCAATACGAGGTTTGGCTCTGGGATTTTCAACACGGTAAAGCGAGTGTCGGACACGAGCTGGGCTAAACTCCATCTTCGTAACGGGCGCGCGCAAAATTGGTAGGCACAAGCTGCAGCCAGGTCTGCGTCTTCAGTGAGGATGGCGATGTCGAGCAGGCGGGCTGTTGCTTCGTCAGTCATCTTGATACCTGGCATTGTCTCTCCAGAGCGGACAGCGTCAAGCACTGCCCGAACAACCGGTTTCCGTGCGGCGTGCTGCGCAGCCTGCTTTGCATCCAAAATGTTGGCTTCCCAGTCATGCATCCAATATCCCTCTTGGGGCTCAAATCCCCAGCAACATGTCGCGCAGGTCATGTGGCCGACACAGTTGCAGTCTTGGGCTCCTCCATACTCTCGTCTCAACATGCAGAGGTCACACGTGCCGTCAAGACCATCACATTCGCATTTACGGACATGTTCAGCAAATGGGCCCAACTCATCTACATGCAGGATACATCCTCGCACGCCGTACTGGGCCAGCGCCAGAGCAGTATCCTGGAGGCCCTTGGCCAGGCACAAATTGAACAAATGCCACTGCGAATCAATTGTTTGGCCCAGAAGCTCATAATGCCCTGCCAGCAAATGCTTCGCAACGAGGAACTCATTCACCCGCTCTATACCCTGATCTGGAGCGTAATATGCAAAAGCTGGTGGATGTCCATGGCGTCAGGAACGCATCAAATCCCAACCCTTTTGAAAAAGCGAATGTCTCCACGGGGGTCACAGGCACAATGCAACAGTGCCGTGTTTTGTAACACGTTTTGATCTTCTGTGACAATGGAAAACTAATGGAAAACCCTACAGCTCTGAAACCGTGGAGGAAACGTGTCTGATTGCGAATAACGAAACCAGCGGAGAGAAAACACCTGTCTTCACCCATATCTATGGCCGCAAGTACTTTGCATGGCTCAAGGGGCTACGGACGTGAAAGTTTACTCTGAAGGGCCATCTGCATCAAGTCAACAAGCTATCGCGAGCTGGCAGGCTTGTTGTGGAACCTTCATGGGCCCCTTACTATCCACTCGCTAATTAACCCTAACTGAGCCTAATTGAGAGTAGGGAGGCTAGTAGAGGAACCCTTGAAACTTCGGGTAAGCCGTTCCGAGTTGATTTTCTCACCGCCCTCCGACCCTCGACCCTACATCCTAAACTCCGCGTGGACCCCCCCCAAGTACCCATGAATAGCCTGGGCCTGCGAACCCATTATTTGGGGGAGGGCACCTGCTTTGTAAACAAACAACAAATTGTATTTACAATATTCGTAATACTGATGAACATAATTTAAGTGTGAAGTGTTATTTGGAAGATTGAATTTATTCCCGTTATTGCTGTTATATTTGGCGGCCTGGGTAAGCCCTGAGCCCCACACCTGTCTGCGAACCCACGCAGGATTTAGCTAGATGGTTAGGAATTCGGATTATGAACCCATATCTGCCTGGTAACGCCTTCTGAACTTCTTATACCCTATGGAATCCTGACTAGCTCCTTAAGACCTATGCCTTAAACCCTAATCCTTGCAATTCTCACCTTAACCCCAAAATGGAAGTATTTGGCCTCAGGATAGCCAGGCCAATGCGAGCTGCATCCTGTCCGCGGGCGCCGCCCAGCAAATCCTGGGATTGTGGAACTTGGAGGCTCATGGGACAAGTTTGAAGTTTGAGGTTTGGGGCGTGGGATTCACGGTTTAGGATCTAAGGCTTATAGGGTTTGCAGTGGTGTTACGTGGAACATGAAGTAGACGAGCTGCAATGGCTTGCGAGGTGCTGCAATGGCCCGGCTGTGGAATCTAACACATTCGCCAATCCCAGGCCGTCTGAAGCAGCCAAGCCACCCCTACTCCTTCTAAGAGTTTAGGACTCGAATTCACTTAGGTCCATTTCGGTCAACAGCACAACTTCATCTTCATTTTATGTTGTCGTTGCTGATGGGAACCTGAAGGCTCATGGCTGAACGCTTTTCAACGAATCCTATCATAGTGGTTTTTGAAAAGTTTTGCCTTGAGGAAGGAACTGCTGTATTAGCTGGAGGCCAAGCCCAAAATGGCGCTTAAGAACCCTGCCAATAATTTTCCCAAGGTCCCTCCTCTGAGTCTGAAGGGATAGGGTGGTTGAGGATTTTGTTCAAAGAGTCGGAGAAGATTACTTAAGGTTTCGGGCTGTGGGCTCAGGGTAGTTGGGGTTCAGAACTTAATCGCTTGAAACGCTGGCCCCCAGCAGGGGCCCTTAGCATGGTAGGGACTGCAAAGGCAACAAGGTATGGAAGGTTCCCTAGATTAAGGGCCCGTACTTCGGATCTTGGACCTACAGGTCGAGGGATTTGGGGCTTGGGCTTTCAAAGGCTTGGGCTTGGCAAATGGGTTTTGTGTTCAGGGCTTCGTCTTCCAGCTTGAGGACGACCGGTTTGGCTTACAATTGTTTTAGGCCCTTGCCTGGCGGCCCTTGGAGTATTACCCCTGCAGCCACCTCCACTCGATTAAACTGTAATTGCGCTGTGCATATACCTGGTTCTTTTATCATCTCAAATCTGAAAACACCGAGTGGTGGAGAAAACGCCCAGTGTGGTGGGTGTTATACAAGAGTCCGGCATGTGGACCTGATACAGCCCTAGTCTCAGGTCCGCGACCTTCGAGAGGATAAGCGGACGAACGAGTGTTACTTTGCCTCAGTTACTTTTACTATTCCCACGCGGGGGGTGGGTGGGGGGGTAGCATACCCAAGATGACCTCTAAGCTTTCGTTTAACCTGGGTTGCTCCTACTTATATATGGTCAGTTAATCTAAGGTCCAACCGCAACCCATTTAAATCTACCGAGAATCGTCAGGAAGAGGCGAGGGGTAAGGGCGTCTCTGCCGCAACCGGCTATGCAGCGGGTTGTAGATCTCCTCAGCCGTGCGCTTTGTGTAGGCGAAGCTTTTTTGCAAACTAAGGGGGCCTCTAGGGACGCTAGAAGTACACGGGCATTGCTCGAGGATTATGGGGCTTCACATTTTGGATGACCCTAAACCCTGAACCTTATAAACGATTCCGTGTGAGGACCTTTGAAGTTGCGGCTTTTGGGGGCGGCTAATCATGGGGAAGTTGGTGAGGGTCAGGAAACAAAACTCCCCGAGCCAATGATGATCTCATCTGGGCTCAGCACTACAGCAAAATCCTGAACAATTACCAATATCATGTTGCGCTATGTTTGAGCTACCTTATACCAGAACTACCAAAGGAACGTGACCAACATATTGGTAAATTACATGGACACCTACGTTACAGCGAGGGCCCCGCAATTTTGGTCTCGGAAGTGAAAACAGTGAGAGTTCGTCCCCCTAATGTAGACCCCTGATTTATAAACCCCCTCCCCTCAGTAGGGGTTAAGTTATAATAGGGATCCTAATGTGGGTTTATTAATCATGGGTCTACAATATCATAATCCATCCAACTGTCCCAAAGACTTGAAAATGAACTGCTTGTTTAAGAGCTCCGTTTCCCTCACACGGCAATAGAAAAATGAGCCCAAGAGCCGGTACATGCCACTGGCCCATATAGGGGTTTCCCAAAATTAGGGGTACTCTTTTGGGAGGTCCCTATAATAAGGATTATAGTATATTAGGGTATATATTGGGGTCCCCTTATATAGGGAAACTACCATATGTTGCTCCAATTCCCGTCCAAATGCTGAAGGACAAGCACTCACCTACAGATCCCCACAGCACCAAGCGCAAAGTGCCAACACTCTACAGTCTGTACACTGAATCTTCACATGCCTGCAGTCTGTCCGAAGTTGGAAATTGCACACTATCAAGAGATTCCGTTTACTTTCCGATGACTGTAGAGGAGTTTCTCCAACCTATACCCCCGACCCCAAATTCCTAAATCCGTCGGAGCCCTAAACAATCTTTTCATCATGCCCAGAAGGCACCCTCATTTTGAGAAGCCCCACCCCCAAATCCTGCCTCCGCCTGGTGGTGTCCGCCGCCGGGATCTGAACCGGCTACCTTCACTAAGGTCATAGGGATACTGGAAAGTTAAATGGAAACTACTGTAATGTATTAGGGTTATATGAGGGTTCTACTGGGATCATATTAAATACTGTAGCTTGGGAACTGACATGTGCAATGTCAGACTTGCTTGCAGCTTCAGATTTCGGCTTTCGGCTTCGGGCTGTATGCGTAGGTTTTGCAAATCGTAGGCGTAGGGTTTTGGATTCAGGGTTCAAGGGCTTAAAGTCCTTGACTAAAGAACCCTTGACGCGAGCACTCATGAATGAAAGAAGGGGCCCTATTCTTATGACTTCCCGTGATGATGACTTTGACATTTTCGAGCACCTGCCACATTGAGGCCACCAAAAACATGGGGGTCTAAGCAAAATAGGGGTGTGGATCCCTAAAACGGGGCTTAGGGTTTAGGGCTTAGGATTTTTACATATTAGTACGAGAGTTTTACTCGGGACCATATAGGGAAATTCACTAAACTACAACGGGGACCTCTATGTCCAATGTCAAGGGCCCCTTTACAAGGCGAAAATTGAGAGTACCTCATAATTCCCTTTACTCATCCCTTTACACACTCCGCCACTCCCTCTAAAGCACCAGAAAGGAAATGGAGGGCTGTGGCTTTAAGGTGGGGCTGTTGATGGGCTGCTTCTGACACTTTGTGCCTTGGCCTTGATCCCTACTTCAACCCCTGAAGCATCATATTAGAATTGTCATCATCATCATTATCATTATTGTTCTCATTACTATTATTAATGGACAGTTCTCAGTATACTATTATTCATGTTTCGGGATGCCCCTACTTGAGGTGTCTCCATGCCTCCAGTGTCTGAGGTGTCAGAGGAGTTCGGCTCTTGGACAGATACCGAAGCCGGACATGCATCGCAATCCTTACATCAAACCAGGCGTCGGCTTTTGTGTGTCATTTTGGGGTTTAGGATTTGGGGCTTCGCCTTTTGGCTTTGGATTTGATACGGTTTTGGTGGTGCTGGAGCTTAATTACGCTTCCAGAGCAAGCCCCCATCATCTTCCTGTTCTTTCGGGATCGAGGGTACTCAGCAGTAATATTTCTGTTCATCCATGGGTGGTGCAAGGGTACCAAACTCTACACCCTGAAGCATACATCGCTACACTCTACTTGGCACCCCAAACTTATGTAAAATCATGGCACTAATACTCTTCTTCTACATTCCTTTGGGGTTCTGGCAAACCTGGTCCCTAAACCCACATGTCTATTAACCCTATATAACCTGGTGTACATTCCTATCTCCTTTCAAGGGCAGGGTAATCCCTGCTTTAAAGTTCCAGATACCCGCTGTAAACCCCAAAGGGACACCTTTCAAGACCGGGCTTATTTCGGGACATTATCGGCATTAGCTCGGGCTATGTGCGAATTCGCAGAACACCTGTCGCAAGGCATTCAGGAACTACAGCATTTCAACTTGCAAGTTCGCCCAACAAGTCGCGGAAGCACCATACCAAGAAAATCCAAGAAACACTGATCGCCTTGATGCAGGGCAGAGACCATTTTTGAACAGTAAAAATCCCAAGTCCATGGGGCCTATGCCCATCTTCTCTTGAATTGATTCCCGAAGGCCCTAACTGCATGCAGATGTTGAGGCGAGCATCATACCGCCGATGCCAATCACTATCGTTCGGGTAAAGAAATTCGACACAGGAATGCTGCCCTGTGAGCTCAACCGTACAATCCGGAAGCCAGCAAGACATGAATAGGCGGTGTAACCGGATACTGTTGTGTAGGGGGAGTCCAGCACTGGCACATACAGCAGAAAGTATCCGATCACCGTCATGAAGGTGTCCGATAAGCCTTGTGCATCTCCCAGAAACAGCATCGGCAGCAAATAGGCAAGGAGAGGCGCCCAGGAGCATACCTAGAACTGATTTTTGAAAGTTTAGGGTTTAGGGTTTAGGGTATTTGGCCTTCGGGAGCTGCATTGGGGCTCCACTAAAGGATCCCTGACAGTGATCCAGTCAATCCTCCGACCCACAACCTGGGTTGCTGTTAAGGAACTTGTACTACATTGGGGAAGCCCTGTTATTTACAATATATACTCACTATGGTAACTAAATTGAAGTTGCTTGACCCTAAAAACCCTAAAGCTCCTAAACCCTATATATATATACACATCCATTATGGTAACTTAATTGAAGTTTCTTAACCCTAAACCCTAAAGCCACTAGACTCCACATATACCCATTATGGTAACTTAATTGAAGTTCCTTAACAACAACCCTAAACCCTAAACCTTAAACCCTAAACCCAGCCCCAGGACCTATAACATTTGCATTCAGGACACGACCAAGAGATCGTTGCTGCGCTTCGTGTCCTCAAGGTTGGTGTGGAGGCAGAGGGCTGCCAGGCTTTGAATAATAAATTCCAAGGGTTTAGGGTTTAGACGTTTCGGGGTTTAGAGGGATTAGGATTTTGACGTTTTTATCGGGATTAGGGTTCAGGGTTTAGGGTCTAGGGATTGAGGATTTGGGTTTAGAATCTAGGGTTCGGGGCCTCACCCAAAAACCCAAATATCATGTAGGGAGGAGATAGAGATGATATAGGGACTGTGAATCGACGGTAGATAGCCTATGCCTTGATAGACTTCAGGGTTGTGGGGGGTTGGTTCATAGGCTCCATGTCCCCCTCCTCCAGGTAGTGCGCTACAGAATGTAAGGTGTTCTGCACCTTCAGCCATATCCCCACCGCAATCAGGCAGACCAGCAGAACTGCATGAAGCAGTAGAACTGCCTCAGCTAGGGCAAGGCTTTCCGGTTCAGGATTTAGGGTTGTGGGCGGGGCTTGCAAAATCGAGCACACTCTTGAACGGAGCTAAACCCAAGCCTTGAATCCTTCCAGGGCTGCAGAATTTGAGGGCCAATCTCAAGAAGCATCCCATCAGAGAAGACCCCCTAGAAAAGACACGCTGAAATCAGGGATGAAAAGGGAAAGCACGCCAAATATTCCCTTGCACCATCCTTTAAAGACACCCCCCATAATCCTGACCGTGCCCCTGCATATCCTTGAGGTCCAGAAGCTACAAACTGTTTTGAGAAACATGTAAATCTCAGAGCCAAGACACAGTGTAGTTGGAGTTATCCAACTCTCCCATGCAGGCGGCCATTAAAACGGACAGCGTACCTCTACCCCTTCAGTTTTGAACAAATGAACAAGATGAGTTTTGGGTGTACAGTTGGGGAAAGGTTTAACGTCTTGTGGTTCATGCTTCTTTGGCTTGTCACTGAAGGCTTCTAAGCCTGAACCCTGACCCTGAGCCCCTAAAAGCTCTAAAGCTTTACCCCACACCGCACAGTAAATCCCGAAGCTTCAGAGCAATAATCTGTTCAACCCTTGACGGGGAGGTTGGGGGGTCTGGGTTTGAGGTTCAGGGCGGTTGAGGGGCTTGGACGCTGGACAATTTCAGGTTGAAGGCTTATGGGTTGGGAATTACAATTCCTGGACCTACGGCTTTAACCCTAAACCCTAAACCCTCTCGACCCGAAACCCTCAGAGAGCCGAGGGGCATAAAAACGGCACCAAACCCAGGAGCATCTCTAACCGAGCTTGATGCCTCAGAATAGTGGGAGCTATTGGAAATTTCTGGACTTTAGGAGGAAGGCTTAGGAGCTTACGGGGTGTGGATCTAGCCTTGAGCGCCCTCAGGTTTTTCTAGAGTGGAGAATATTTTGAATTCCAGGACCTTCCTTGTACCCTTAATTGGGGATATATGGTCCCTAATAGTGGGTACTTAGGCCCTCATAGAGGGTAGGAGGAGGGTCTAGGTTGAGGGTTTTCTGAGTTCACAACTCTGGGCTTCAAATTAGGGTCCAAGTGCTCGAACATGATACTTTCCGGTACAAAACTCTTTTGACATCGTATGCGGTGCCTAAGCCCATGCACCCTCAAACGTAGTGTCTGCAGGTGTGTTCGAAAGCACGACACGCAAAGCTGGGAGGTTCTAAGGGATACGTTCGTAAAGGATCCCGCAAAGCCTCCCTTTCCTAACCTAGCATCGATACCATCATGAAGATTGGCACAACAGGTGGCCAATGCTTTAGGCGACCCACAGCGACCTCGCAGAGTATGAAGTTGCACGGCCATAGAGATCCAACTTCGGGTGAAAATTCGAGGGTTAGAAGCGCTGTGCCTTCTTCGCCATGGTTAAGCTGTATTTGTGCAGGCTGACACAAAATAGGATTTCAGGGTCTAGTTCCTGGGGCCAAGCTTTACAGAACTTTGAGCTAAGTCCATCCAAGGCTTGCTGTCAGCCACTGCGGCTTAGGGCTCAGGGGAAACTACTATATCATAATGGGGTATATACTGGGGTTATATAGTGATAACGGAAAAGAAAATGGAAACTACTATTTAAGCTTTCAGCAGTGAAAGGTGTAGCTTTAGGGCTGAGGGTTACTCGGGTGTGAAATCCTACGCGCAAAGCTCGCTGGAAGCCATGAAATAATTGTGCCTTCCTTCTTGTAGCTTGCCCTGCAAGCCCACATGTACCCTAGACCCTTCACCTTGAACCCTAAACCCTACACTATTCAGATGGTTACATCTCAAGCACAGTGCTTTCCCACAAGGAGAACATGCAGGCACTACAGCTCCCCAAAGCCGTGCTCCATGGGAATTCCCCAATGTTTTCGAATCATTTCTTGCGATCCTACGAAAGAAAGTCTCTACACCCAAAGCAACAAGAGACATCGTAATGACGAAGCACAGGCCACTTCTGGTTTGATCCTAGCTCTGTTCGTCACAAGTTCAGCGGCAATTCAAAAGGAACATCAACATCTCTTTGAAAACCTAGGTCGTTTCTCTGACTTAGGGCTCTGCTTTCCCTAGCCCACAAGCCTTATGCGAAAACATGCCAGATGCTGAACCAGAACCCCCGTGTTGTAAGCTCTACTGAAAAAACAGCATGGCTCCAGGGCCATCCAAAATAACATCTAAATCAAAAAACACCAAGTACACATTGTTCTGATAGACTCGCTCATAGCCAAAGTGCCGTACGGCCGCGCTGCATGCCGGCCTAAAAACTGCCATGGCCCATGTGAACAACATGGTTCGGGCAAGGGTTTGAATTGCGGTTGTCGGGTTCACAGCTGCGATCCTAAAGAATTTAAATCCCGTTTTATCGTTGGCTCTTTTATCGGGGCTCTTGGAACTCGAAGAGTTGAGGCACCATATACTTAAGCGCCAGATTACCCACATAGGAACCCTCTTACACCCCAAGCATCTACCACCTTGGTAGCTGGCGTCTCTTTATTAACTAGTCGAGACAATCCGGGCCTAAGGCGGGGTTTACGAGAAAAACGTGTTTAAAGGGCATGCAGCCCCAAGATGCGTACATGAGGCCCTGTCACTTCCTGCAGACTGCCAGTGGCAAAGCTGCCACCACAGAGCCAAGATGCAGCAGCAGAAACACGTGAACACGTGGGGATGTAGGGTGGAAGGAGTCATGTACCCCTAAAGGCCAATCCTAAACCACGCGCCCGCGAGCCCTGGGTCTTGGTCAGTAGATGCGTCAGACCCAACAGACGTACGACCCCAAAACGTAGCAGAACCAGCAAACTTCCCAAAGCTGAAGCCACCTCTTGGCGTTTGGATTCTGTCCTAGTCTATCGCGCTAAGCCTCTAAGCAAGACGGTCGGGCTCCACCCCTGATTCGTTCCCCCTACGAGCACAAGTACTTGCACAAATGCCTTGCCTTCCACAAGCTCATGCGACACGCCGCCGCCGATACCAACCTCATTTTCAAGCCTATTGGTTTACGATTCAACCATAACAGGACAAGTCAGTTTCTTATAAACATTGACTTCCGAGCCTTAGAGATCTATGATTAAAACTTCAAACATTCCAAAAATTCACTCTCTGAACCCTGACGTGATGCCTTGTGAGGCTGCCAAATGAATAGCAGTTTTTCTCACGGCCTGTGGCACAAAGCCTCCCAAGTTGTTCTTGTACGGGGTCCTGCAAGACCTAGCCCAAAAAGTTGAGCGAGCTGGCGCATGTGGGCGTTCCGACTGTGTGACACAAAACCAGATCAAAGCCTTCGAAATCTTCAAAGACTTTAAGTTTGTACCCTTAATGTTTGTACCCCTAAGTTGTTGGGTCCCAAATACCCTTATTGAGGGCCATATTCCAGGGTTTAGGGACCCAAAACCCAAGGGTACAAACCCCAAGGGTACAAAGGAAAACTCCCTGAAATCTTGAGCAGCAAGTCGTGTGGGCAGACCATGCCCCACTTGCTTGCTCTTTAACTCCCTCTCTGAAAGTTTACCTTTTAGCTTCCTCAGTATGGAGCAGACACAGCCCTAAAAAAAACATGAAGCGTTCAACTTGTAGTAAAGTCTAGACCCTAAACCCTAAACCCCTAGGGTTTAAAATTTCGGCTGCAAGGGCCTAGAGAGCTCTGGAGTGCTCAAAGCAAGTACTATTCGCCACCTTTGCGTCCCCAAACCAATATCGTCTGTCCTTCTTGTGGGTCCCCATAAGGTTGGTTGTCAAAATTATGGTCCCTTTTTGGGTACCCTAAATATTAGGGGCCGTATTTTAATAGGGACCCAAAAAGGGACCATAATTTTGACAACCAACCATAAGAAGAATTATAATAGATTTCGAAAGATAAGGGGGATCCCAATTTTAGGAAACCATCATAGACATCCGTAAAAACTGATGGAAGTCTCGTCTGGGAGGTCAGTATATACCCTCTACCTGGACCCCAAAAAGTATGTAAAATAATGGCCCTTATGGCTGTTATTATGGGTTTGGGGCAATTATTTTACATACTTTTGGGGTTTAGGTACTCTTACTTCCCAAATTGTGAGTCCGAGTCCTCAGAGCCGACATCCCAAACTCAATGACCAAATTGAGTGCTGCCTACACAGGCTTACATAAAAGTGTTTTTCTTCGGGATGACCCTACACCCCTAGGTAATAAGTGTAGCGCAACTCCAGCTCAAGTCTGCTTCTTACCTGCTAAGCCTTCGGAGCCCTTGAGCATGCAAACCCCTGGCCTCTGTCTTTTAACTGGGTTGCTGTCAAGTAACTTAAATTAAGTTACTATATTGGGGAAACCCTATTATTTACTACATATTCCCATTATGGTAACTTAATTTAAGTTCCTTAACAGCAACCCAGGTAAAGTACGCAATCCCTGAACCCCGGCTCCTATGCACCCCAAAAGCCGGAGCAATAACTCCTACGTAAATCCGCCAAACTTCCCAAGTCGGTCTCCCTTTTCACCCCCCTACTGAACTATATAATGTACGCAAGTTGCCAATCCACGAAACTGTTGCGTTAAGGGGGCGGAGCAATTCCTCAACGTTCGAGAATCTCAAACCCATGTTTTCTTGCCGTGAACCACATGAACCCGCAACTCCACCGCCCCGCCAAACTACTACCTCATTACCGGAGCTTTAACAGAGCAATTTTCTTCCAACCACGGGTTCCTCGGAGCCAAAGACTTGCAAACTGTTGCTTGAGGGTTATCTAGGGAATACTGCAGGGTCGGACTATTGCACTCCTCCATTCACCACGAAGGAAGAAAAGGCCAAGGGGCAGTGTAGATGTTTGTTTCTTTGGCCTCAGAATGCCCGCACACTTCGCCCCTGCACTGCAATGTTTAGGCTAAGGTTGAGGATGCAGGGTGGAAGTGCCATCGGGCAATGTTGCAGCATGGACGATCAGGAATACTATCCCTTTAGGTTACTTCTGCCACTGGTTTTAAGCCCTATAATGGATGCAAAGCTGTGGATGCTCGCAACCGTCAATAAGCCTGGAGAGAAACTTGGCCGACATCCCCGCATGGTCCCGCGCTACTGGGCGTCAGGGTGGTTTTCTCAAAAAGCTGCTTTAATCCTTGTCAGACCGCAACTGTTGCTAGGGGACATTTACTATAGGCGCTGTGAAGTTTCCTTGCAAGCCGGTACAAGAGCCAGTGGAGGCCTGAATTGCGTACTAGAGACATCTAGGTTAAGACCGTTGAGCGGAAGCGGCCATTAAAAAAAAAAAGTGGTCAGATACCGTTACTGAAGCAGAGGTTTTAAGAAGCATTCAAATTTTTTCATGTGCCATCAAACCCTGTAGCCAGGACCAAGCACTTGGGGCTTTGGAATCTCAACCGAAC